GCCGCGGGGACCCCGGCTCCCGCGCCCCGCGGCATGAACCTCAGCAGCACGAGCAGCGCGGCCGAGAAGGCGCCCAGGGCCACGCTCTGGGGTGAGTGAGGGCCCGGCGGCTCCCGAGACCGGGGGCGGGGGGGGAGCCCCTCCCCTGAGCCGGCCCGGCCCCCTCGCTCCTCTCCCTTCGCAGGCTGTGAGCTAAACCAAGAGAAACGGACTTGGACGGTCAAAGCCCAGAAGGAGGGGAAGCAGGACTGTAAGCTGTTGCTCAGTACGGTGGGTGCCTCCCCGCCGGAAGGGTGGTCGGATGCAGCCGGGAGGGACTTGGACAGCTGCGGAGGGCCAGGGGCCACTCTCTGGTCCCAGAAGGTGGAACAGGGTTTCCCTCCGCTGCCCTCCGGTGACGAGGTGGCCTGTCTCCAACCGCTCTCAGATTTGCTTGGGGGACAAAGCCAAAGAAGAGATGAACCTCGTGGAAATCCTGCCCCCAGCCAGCCAAGAAGACAAGAAGACCAAGCCCATCACCATTGCCTCGCTTCAGGCGTCTGTGCTACCCATGGTGAGCCTTTCCCTGCAGGCTTAGGGAGACTGCCTGCCCTGGGGCGCTAGGAGGCCTTACTCAGGCCTCACCCCCTGGGTGGGGATGGACAGACACCAAGGGGGGGGGATACAGTCGTTCTGCATTGGGGCAGTCCTGCCTGAGAAGCCGTATAGCCCATGACTGAGAGCCCTGGATTTCGGAAGCAGAGAGCCCTATTTCCATCCCAGCCCATCCTTTACGAGCTGTGTGACCTTGGGCAAGTTAACCGCTTTTCAAAATCACGTTTTTAAACCTTTTGATGCTGGTGACAGGACACCGTTGATGACTTCCATACTGATTGTGTATCCAGAAATTTTTTCTAATTATCTTGAGTTCTTTATGCAAATCGTCGTTGTTAATGGCAGTTTTTGTGTCTTTTTTAATCCAACTACACGGTCTCGGACCTCCAGTATAATATTAAGTAAGATTATAACGGTAAATGTCCTTGTTTCATTCTTGATATATATGTATATTTTTATAGATTTATTTATTTGAGAGAGAGAGAGCAAATGTGCATCAGCTTGGTGGAGAGGGAGATAGTCTTAAGCAGATTCCATGCTGAGCGCAGAGCTGGATCTCCTGACCCTGAGATCTTGACCTGAGCTGAAACCAAGAGTCGGCCGCTTCCCTGACTGAGCCACCCAGGAGTCACTATATGTATATTTTTAAAGAAATGCTTCTAATGTTTCTCCATTAAGCATGACATGTTTGGTAGACACCCTTTTTCAGGTCAAGGAAGTCCCCATCTAGTCCTGCTCTCCTTTTTAAAACTGGGATTTCTTCATTTAATCATAAATGGTTAGCAAATACTTTCTATTCAGATAATCATAGGTTCTTTCTTTAACCTGTTAATGTGGTAAGTTATATTAATAGAATACTATTCCATCAACTTTGCATTCCTAAAATAAACATTATTTGATCATACTATAAATTTCTAGATTTGCTTCGCTAATATATTAAAACTTTTTTTAAAAAACTTATATACTCATAAGTGAGGTTGACCCATAAACTCCTTATCTTATTTGGGTGTCAAGGCATACTGGCCTCATGAACAGGGGGATGGAGTGTTCTCTCCTTCTATGTGGTGGAACAGTGAAGGTAAGACCAATATCATCTGTCCCTGAAGACCTGGGAGGCCCATCTGTAAAACTGTCCTTAAACTTTTTTTTCCCTCTATCTATGAGATCTCCCTAGATCTCATTCATTGGCCAGGGTTTTAAAGACCATTTATACAAATGAAGACTCATATTTATTTCTGTAAACCCACTCTCTCTTTCTCTCTTGCTCCAGATCCTCTGTCCAGCTCAATGTATTTGATACCTAAGAGATAACCCATACTTGACAAATCCAAATCCAAACTCTTGATTTTTATCAATAATCTCTTCCCCCACCCCCAAACCTGATCCTCTCCCAGGACATAATTACTCTTCCAGTTAATCAAGACAAAAACCTCCTTCTCAAACACCGCGTATCACCAGCAAATCCTGTTGGCTCTACCTTCAAACATACACCAACCAGTCTGACCACCTCTCAGCACCTCCCTACTAAACCCTGGTCCAGGTGACCATTACCTCTTGTTCAATTTTATTGCAGGGCCTGCTACCTGGTCTACCTACCCTTTACCCTTGGTTCCTTATAGTCTATTCCAGGGTTCAACATACTGCAGAATTAAACCCAGCCCACTGCCTGTTTTTGTAAATAAAGTATTATTGAAACACAGCCACACGCCTTCATTTATGTATTATTCATGCCTATTTTCACTTGGTAACAGCAGAACTGAGTAGTCTCCGCAGAGACCATATGGTTCACAAGCCTAAAATATTTACCGAATATCTCCAGAAAACTTTTCCCCAACTCCTGATCTATTCTATGCACAGCTGCCAGAAGGATCCTTTTAATTTTTTTTTTAATATTTATTTAAGTAATCTCTACATCCAATGTGGGACTCAAACTAACAACCCCGAGATCAAGAGTTGCATGCTCTTCTGACTGAGCCAGCCAGGCACCCCCAGAAGGATCCTTTTAAACAAAAGTCAGACCACATTGCTTCTCTACTAGAACACCTAGGTCAGTGGCTTTCCATTTCACTTCGAATGAAATCCAGGATCCTTTATGTTCTGGCCTGCAGAAACCTCTCTTAATCTCAACCTTTGCTACTCTCCCCTCCCTAACCCTGCTCAAACCACACTGGCTTTCTTGACTGTACCTTGAAAATTCCAAACATACCCCTTTCTAGGAGTCTTGCATTTAATGTTTCTGTGAGAAGGACACACTTGCCCCCAACTTCAAGTCAACCTTTGCTCATATGTCCTCTCACTGAAGAAGTTTTCCCTGACCACAAACAGCACCCCCTCTTCCTACCCTTCAATAATCACTTCTTCCCCCATGGGACCCATCACTGGCTCAGTCTTCATTTGTGCTTTGTCTTTCTCCCCAGCCAGGATCTAAGCCTCAAGAGAGCAAGGACTCTGCCTGTTTCGTTTACTGCCTTCACCATAATGCCTATAGAATAGTGCCAGGCATATTGTGGAAACTCGGCATATAGTGAATGAGTGAGTAAGGAAGTGAACAAACTAGGTGGGACTGGTTTGATTTTAAACTACTGTCATTTATTTAGTAGTTTTAGGTCTCAGTGTTTCCATTTCTTTGAGTCGTTTTTTTATATCTGCTTTATTGAGATATAGTTTATATGCAATAAGATTCACAGTGTTGGAGCGCCTGGGTGGTACAGTCCTTAAGCGTCTGCCTTCGGCTCGGGTCATGATCCCAGAGTCCTGGGATCGAGCCCCGCATTGGGCTCCCTGCTCCGCGGGAAGCCTGCTTCTCCCTCTC